AGGTAAGCACCCAGTGAATGGAAGCTGCTAGTTCTTGTTTCCCAGAGGTATGCCTCCCCCCTCCTACCACCTTGCCCCAGTTTTGCTTGGGATTGCTCATTCATTCATCCCCTCCCCTATAGAAATCCTGCACACTCTTCAAAGTCCATCTTAAATGTTATCTCCTGATTCAGACCTTTTTTCACCCTCCCCCCCATCCCCATTCTCTGAGTGTTGCCCAACTTTGGATCTTTGTTGTCTCTTCTGGAGGTGTTTCAAATCCTGCCTTCTATAAGAGCTTCTCCTGTGTGGTATGGTATGCCCCAGACTGCCTACCTTTGAGGGCAAGAGTGTGTCTTAGTTTTGCAAACCCTATAATTGTAGCAGAGAACAGCAGTATAAAGAATAGGAAGTCACATTTAAGCACTTGCTGAGTACCTACTGTGCGTTACACAGTGCAGTGGTGAGCAAAGGAGACACATGTTGTGCCTTCACAGAGCCCAATTTCCGTGGCTCCCACCCACGTCCCAAAATGATGCTGATGAAACAGAGAGGTGCCCCATGCCCTGGGTCAGTTCCACTTTTGTGACCTTGCTCCTCAGTGTGTGTTACCATGAACCATGGCCTTCTGATGTCACTGCACTGTGTGTGAGATCTGGGCTTGGGGAGGATGGCCTGGCCCCGGTGTTGGCATCGGGGCAGGCATGTGAGGGAGGGGCTCCAGAATGGGAGTGCATGGGAGGAAGGGACAGGGACTGGAGATGGGAGAGGTGGTGGGGAAGCGCCTGAGTCAGGTCTCTGCAGCAGGTGGAGGAAGCCGTAGCCCAGGCCTAGGGACCCGCTAGCGTGGATTCCAATCTCTGTGTTCAGCCTGGGATGGGGCAGGCGGGGCCTCCGGTGTGCATGAGCTGGGGCTGCCCTGCAGAGCCCAGGGTCGGTATTAATTGAGCCCTGGGGCGCCTGTAAACCTGTGGTGATGACCACTTGGGCCTCAGGCCTCATGCCAGAGCTGGCTACGTTTTTTTCTTTGGAGAAGGTGGAGGACACTGGAAAAACCAGTTACGGTGTGTGAGGTTCCATTTTATGTTGCTGTTAATGGAATGTTGGCTCAGGAGCCCGGAAATGTATGTAAAAATCTGGCTTTTTCAGAAAGCTAGATGTGTTGGTTAGGTCAGCAAGACCCTTCTATGAGTTGCATCTCCTGAACTGGCAAGTGGGCAGGACAAGAGTTTGGGGTTTGTGCCTCCTCCCTCTGATGGGAAGGGCCCCCAGCACATTGTCCTGTGGGGAATGGGGGCTTGGTGCATCGCTGGGTCTGCTGGTCCTGTCCCAGGGGCTGGTTGAAGCTGAGAAGGGCGCTTTCCGAGTGGATGTTTCTCTGCATGGTCAGCCTCATCTCCAGGCCTGGAGGGAGCCATGGGGACGATCTCTGTGACACACAGCCCTATGTCCATTCTGCTCATCTCCCAAGTCCCTAGGATTCATGTGGCATTTCGTAGTAGTTGTTGGTAGATATTTGGAATGAGTGATTTAATTGCATGTTCTTTGGTTCTATTATTCATTGCAGGGAGTAGTATATTAGCTTCCTGTGGTTGCTTTAACAAATTACTACAAACATGTTGGCTTAACATGAAACACCACAAGTTTATTTTCCCATAGTTCCTGAGGCTAGAAGTCCGAAATCTGGTAGGGCCGTGGTCCTTTTTGGAGCTTGAGGAGAGAAACCATTCTCTGTATCTTCCAGCTTCTGGGTGCTCCAGGTGTCCCTTGGCTTGTGTTCCTCCAATCTCTGCTGGTCACGTCACCTCCTCTTCTCTCTGTCTTCTCTGTGTGTCTCTTACAAGGACACTTGTCATTAGATTTAGGGACCTCTAGATAATCCAGGAATATCTCCTTATCTCAGTATCCTTAATTTAATTGCATCTGCAAAGACTGTTTTTCCAAATACAAGGTAACATTCATAGGTTCTGGAGATGAGGATCTGGATATATCTTCTCTGGGAGGGAGCAGCATTCCACCTGCCACAGGGGGTCTTAGTATTTTTTTAATGGCTGTTTTAGCTATTTTAAAACTGCTTGCCACTGGGTTTGTGCTGTTCCTAATTTGTTGTTTGCATTTAAGTTTCATTCATATATATGCATGTGTCTATACATATACATATAAATACACGTGTTTGTATATATGTGTGTGTGTATATATATATATATATATATATATATATATATATAGAGAGAGAGAGAGAGAGAGAGAGAGAGAGAAAGAGAGAGGGAGATTTTAGTATAGGTAGATTTCCCTTTTGCCAATTTTAGTTTCAGAAAATCCTTCTCTGTTGAGTGTCTGGTATGATTCATGTTCACATAAAACCTTAAGAAAGTTGACTTTAGTCCAATGATAACTTGTTTTGATGTTTGCTATGAGTTGAGTAAAACCTCAAAACCGAGGGAGATCTATGTGAGACTTTTAGTTGAATTGCATTGAACCATGGTCAGGCTCCTGGTTCGTTCATTTGTCCCTCCCTCCCTCCCTCCCTCCCTCCCTCCCTCCCTCCTCCCTCCCTCTCTTTCTTTCTTTCTTTCTTTCTTTCTTTCTTTCTTTCTTTCTTTCTTTCTTCTTTCTTTATTTTTAAAGATTGTATTTATTTATTCATGACAGAGACAGAAAGAGAGGCAGAGACATAGAGGGAGAAGTAGGCTCCCTGCGAGGAGCCCAATGCAGGACTTGATTCCCGGACCTCAGGATCACAAGCCATGCCAAAGGTAGATGCTCAACCACTGAGCCACCCAGGCATCCCTAGGCTCCTGGTTTCAGTGATGTATCATACTTACCTCAGATGCCACCACTGGCGACACTGGGGGACAAGTATTCAGGACCCCTTTGTACTATTTTTGTTACTTCTTGTGAGTCTATCCTTACCTAAAAATTAAAAAAAAAATTCCAGCAGCCAATCAGATTTACCAATACCACCAGTAAATCATTTTCTCTTAATTTGTAAAACATCCTTTATTAAGTTGTGAAATGTGTATGGGCGTTTTAGAGCTGTGGTTAACACTTAATTTGGGAAAAATTGACATCGTTCAGTAAGTGGTCTTCTTGTCTAGGGACATGGAGTATCCTATTTATTCAGACTGTATTTTATTTCCTCATAAAACATGTAGTTTCATCCAGGTTGTTCATGGTTGTAATTCATAGATTCAGGTTCTCCCTGTTACTAAGGATGAGTCTTTTCTCCATGCGTATTCTTTGACTAGCTTGTGCGGTTATATGTCACCAAATAGAATCCCCACACCCCTTAAATACATGAAATTCTTTTAAGTTGGGAAAATGCTTTTCATTCTGCAATTAGAGACAATGTTTAACAGGCTTTAACACATTCCTTTAACCTGCTCTTGGCAAGGGTATGGTCAGTTATTTACTGTAACATGGATCTGAGTGGGTGGCTGTGTTCTCCATCCAAGTGACCCGGGGGTGTGGGCAGGGGCAGCCTTTCTAAAGAAACATGAAGCTCTGTTCTTTTTTTTTTTTTTTTAAATTTTTATTTATTTATGATAGTCACAGAGAGAGAGAGAGAGGCAGAGACATAGGCAGAGGGAGAAGCAGGCTCCATGCACCGGGAGCCCGACGTGGGATTCGATCCCGGGTCTCCAGGATCACGCCCTGGGCCAAAGGCAGGAGCCAAACTGCTGCACCACCCAGGGATCCCTGAAGCTCTGTTCTTAACATTAACTCCATTTTGTTGAATTCTCTTTCTTTGAAAACTGTAGAGGTGCTGTGTTTTGGGGGACACATGGTATGCTACCTAGGGTGTCTTAGGCACAACCAGGCTGGGACAAATGGGGGTGTGCAGTCCAGAGAGCCATCTGAGTTGGCCATGGACTGACTGCTCTGTCCCCTGGGGCCGTGAGGCTTGGGTGGTCACTCAAGAGGTCAAGAAGGCCTCCCTCTGGGTGAACTCCAGGTTTGAAACCCATCAGAAATGGAAAATGTACTGTTAACCCCCTTCTAGACCAATCTTATGAAATCCGACTGCTGGAGAATCGGAAGTTGGGAGACTTTCAAGATCTGAACACAAAATATGTCAAGGCAAGGCTGTGGGGCCACCCTCCCTCCCCAGGAGGTCTTGGGGGTCTGAGGGGTCTGGGCTTGCTGGTGGTGGGGGTCAGGAGTGCCTGGGCGGTTTGGGGAGAGCCCTGGAGTGGGAGGGGTTCCTGGTCCCTGGAGCATGTTGTCCAGGTGGTTGAGGGCAAGCTGGCAGTGCTAAGAGCTGGAGGGGCGTGGGCTGATGGAGTGGGCTCTGGGCTGGATGAACTCAGGTTTGAGCCTGGCTTTGCCACTTACTGAATCTTCCTGAGCTTTCAGTTGGCTCATTGGCACAAAAAGATATATAGGTTAGCTGTGTATGTAAAGCACTTAGTAATTCTGGAAAAGGGGGATAGTCCTCATTCTCACTGTCCTATGATTGGGTTCTGAGGGGGAAGAAGCCTGCAGAGCTTGAGAGCTGGGAAGGAAGGCTCTGGAAGGAGAGGTCTTAGTCTTGAAAGGTGGGAGATTTTCCCCGGTGGGAAGTTCTCTTGGGTCCTTGTCAGCCCCACACTTAGCTGTCTCCTACTGGCTTCTCCTCCCTAGAGCATCATCCAGGTGGTTTTCCACGACCGCCGACTGCAGTACACAGAGCACCAGCGGCTGGAGGGATGGCAGCGGAGCCGGCCCGGACACCGAATCCTGGACATTGGTGAGTCTGCTGGGCCACGCGGGGCCCAAGGGCACTCCAAGTTCATTGGGAACCCCAAGAACATTGGGGTTCTTCTTGGAGCTGTCGGATGCATGCCTCTCTAGGACACTTTAGTGTACCCTTGCCTCAGGTAAAACACTGTGCGAGCTGGCACCAGGCCTGCCCTCAGGGATTTCTAACTCAGAGCTCTGCCATCAGGGATTTCAGGGAAAGCATTGCAGAAGGCCCTGCCCTAAAGGATTCTGATCTGTGACGAAGGGAAGCATGGGCATCACAGGGGATGGGCAACAGAAATTGAGTTTTGAGGTCTTAGGCGCTGATCCATAGTCTTTTACCTGTAACTCTGGGAGCCAGGTGTGTCTTGGAATTTAGAAGTTTTAGAATGGCAACAGGGTGTGTCGATCCCTAGCTCCAGGTAATGCCTCTGGCAGGCCATCCAGTACACTAATATTTCTGCAGCAGGGTAAAATGTCCGTTCACCCAAAATGGGACAAAGAACTCCGAATAGCTTTGTGGCAGTTCACGTTGGGCTTTCTGCCAAATGAGTTATGCAAAACTTAGTTTTCAGAACTTTCGGCATTTCAAATTGTGGTTAAGGAATTTGGACCTGTAATGAGAGTCCTTCCGTAAGCCTCTGGGAGTGGACTGACAATTGCACTTTTGTGTATGTGTATGTGTGTGCAGATATTCCACCGTCTGTTGGTATCTTGGACCCCAGGGCCAGCCCAACACAGCTGAACGCAGTCGAATTTTTGTGGGACCCTTCAAAGAGAGCCACTGCATTCATTCAGGTAAGTGGGAGGGAGGGTGTTCTTGGGGGAAGCCAGAGTTTTGGGGCCTGCATGCATGTCGTTCCTCAAAACAGTCCACCTGCAGGGCCCCAACGGGCTCCTGTTCTATGTTGCGGGATGTACGTTGAAGGGGAGGAGGCTACAGGAGTGTGGCTCAGTCGTGGAGCTAGTTGGTCCCCAGAGCTAGGAAAGGACGTGGCATGTTGTAGAATACTGTGTGGGTTTTGCTTAACAATATGTAAGCTTGTTACAAAATAAGTGTGCCCTCGCGTATATAATAGGTAATAAATTTTTTTCCATGATAGTTTCTATGATTAAATTAATTGTTTCATGATCAAGCACCTGGCATGGGTCCAGGAGCCTGGCAGGGCCGCCGTGTTTCTGGGCTGACACGCACTCTCTCGTTCTCTCTCTATGTCCCTTTCTGAACCTCTTAGTTTTTTCACTTGTCTTATAAATCAGATAATGAACATAAAGTCATTATTGCAGTGCCTGGTCCATAGTAATTGCTCAGTAAAAGTTAGTGATCTTTTTTTTAACATGATTATAATATTCTTACTGTACTTTAAAGTTATTATAATACTACTGTATTAGCACAATAATATATATTATTGGAGTATTTATAGTATTCTGATAATAAATATGTTACCCAGTGCCTTTTTCTGTAGCACATACTTACGTAGAAACATGGAAATGGCTCCAACTTTCTGCTCCTGCTCCTGGCCTGGCCCGAGCAACTCGGACACGCACCAGGCGGGATCCCTGCTATGCAGTCTGTGGGATCTGCCAGGGGAGAGGAGGGAGTGAGGGTCCGTGGGCCTGAGCGATGGCGAGGACGTAGCTGGTCAGGCAGGGCCTCTGAGGTCGAGGGACAAAGGGGAGAGTGTGTGCCCTTTATAACAGGGGAAGGTGGAGGGGACAGAGAGGGCATTACCCTGGTGGAGTGTGCGTGGGGAGTGGGGAGGCCGAGGCAGCTATGGACCTGATGGTGCGGGATGGAAACCTCCATTTGGTGAGGGGCCCTTGGGGAGTCCAGGGCCTGTCCCCACTACTCTTCTTGGCTCTGGCCCACATTTCCCCTTCTAGGTGCACTGCATCAGCACGGAGTTCACCCCCAGGAAGCACGGGGGTACAGGAGTGCCTTTCCGAGTGCAGATCGATACATTTAAGCAGAATGAGAATGGGGAGTACACAGAACACTGGCACTCAGCCAGCTGCCAGATCAAGGTGTTTAAGGTAGGACGTCCTTGCCACGTTCCACCTGTGGCCGCCTGAATCCACGGGTCCCTGCCTGTGCTGGACAGTGACAGCAGTGCATTGACCTTTGGAATTCCTGCTGGAGGCCCAGCAGGGAACTCGGCGTCCTGTTGGCTTGGGGCTTCTACCTGGACCCCTGAGGAGCATGAGCCAGCGCCCTGGGGTGACGGGCCTGCCCACTTCGGGTGTCCTTTGGTGTGGGGCACCTTCTGTCCTCCGTCATCACAGATGGCTGTGCCCAGCTCTGCCTTGTAAGACTGTCTGGATTTTCACGTTTTCAGGTTTTCCTTATCTTCCCCAGCACTTTTGTAGTTGGCCACAGATTCTGTAGTTGCCGGTTTGATTCTCCATAAAAATCAAGTCAGGACACCCCGTCCCGTGCAGGAGGCGCGGCCACAGACGTTCCCATGGAGGGCCCAAGGCCCTCTCTCCCTCTGCAGTAACCTTTCTCCTGTTGGAGAAAGAAACATGTTTGGAGGAACCGTCTCTCTTTTCCTTTCTTGCCCAGCCCCTGCCTATTAACTACTTTCCTCTGTCTGGACCCATACTTCTGAAAGATATTGGCGGCCAATGATGCAACTCAGGTCCTGCATGGCCTGCGGAGTTGCAGGGTCACAGCAGAGCCTGTGGCATCCACAAGGGTGAGGGAGGGGTGGGCCCCGGCTCAGTTAGTGATGCTGCCCTAGGTGGGAAGGTACTGGTTGTGGTGGGAGCACGCGATTGTCCTTTCGTGCTAGAGCACCAGCACCCTTCAGAAACCTGCTTCAGGACGGCGATGCCTTGAAATCCAACCTGGGATATTGGTTTCCTGTTGCTGCTGTAACGAATGGCTACACGTTTAGTGGCTTCAAGCCACATGCACTTACTACCTTTCAGGCCCCGGGGTCAGAAGTCTGATGGTCTCACTGGACTAAAGTCAAGCATTGAGGAGGAGGGCTGCATTCTTTTCTGGAGGCTCCCTCTCCTTCCCTTTGCTGCCTTCTAGAGGCCTCTGCATTCCTCAGGCCACATCCACTTGTCCCTAGGAGCTAGCAAGAGTGGCTGGGCTCTTCTCTGGTCACATCACTCCAGCCTCCTCGCCTCCCTCCCTTGTCCACTTTTTACGGACCCTGTGATTGTGCTGGACCCCCTGGGATGACTCAGGATAATCTTCCTGTTTCCACATCACACTGCTAGCAATCCTAATTCCACCTGCAGCTTTACTTCCTTTGCCTTGGTGAAGTGACAAGCCTCGGGTTCCTGGGGATTAGGATGTGGCCGTGTTTGAGGAGCCCCTGTGCAGTGGGCACTGTGGCCTGTGGTCTTAGGTGCTGTCTGCTACTGGGTCTTGTGGGTCTGATTTCCCGTGGACAGCCCCACAGCTGTGTGGCCGGATGTCTTTGCCTGGTCCTGGTCACACCTCTGTCCTCATCATATACAGACCACATCTGTGGTCCTCGGGTCCATGGCACCCTGTGGATATCTGGGGCTCAGATGCAGACCGGCAGCAGGAGGAGGGATAGTGTCTGTAGGACGCCCCCTGCCCTGCCCTGCAGAGTGCCTTGGCTTCCCAGGACCCCCTGCCAGCTCCCCTTTCTACACCTCGAGGAAGAAGCTCAGGGGTGAGGACTCTGCACACCAGGCTCCTGGACCGTACACTAGCTATCACTGAGGAGTTGGTCTGGAAGCTGCCCTTGTCTGAGTGACCCAAGGAAGGCTTTGGCATCTCCTGCAGTGGCGCAGGGGCCCCTGTCACCTGAAACTGGCTTCTCGAATGACTGAGGAGGTGTGGGCACCCCACGCACCCAGCCCTGTCACAGAGGCAGTTCAAGCAGGTGTGCGCAAGCTCCGGGTGGAGTCCTGGCTAAACCTGGCTGTGATTTTTTCCCCCAGTCACCCCCCGTCACTAGAAGCCTCCCACATATTGGAGCCAGGCCCTGGGGCTCTATGGGTGGCGGGGCCTCTGACACCGAACAGGTCAAGACCCCTTTTTGACCAGCCAGCTTCTCCACAGGCCTCACCAGGCCGAAGTGCCTTCCCCATACACAGCAGGCTTGCCTTGTGGCTTCTGGAAGGGGAGGAAGAGCCTCTTGTTAGGGCTGGGAGGCAGGTGATGGGGGTATGGATACTGTGCCTGGATCCTTCTCTGACACTGGATATGTCGTTCCTGTCCCCAGAGGACCCCCTGCAAAACCCGCCTCCATCAAATGTGGGTATCACATCACCCTGGGAGCCGTTTTTCTAAAGTGCCCTGATCTGGAAACCAAAAGTTGTGTGGCCTGAAGACAGGTGCAAACTGGGATAAAAGTCCCAGAAGGTGACCCCTGAGCTGAGGACAGGTGGTTTTCACTATCTGCGGCACCGAGCACAGTCCGCTTCAAGTGTGCTGAGACCATTCAGTTCTGGGGATCTGGGGCTGCTTGGAGTCTTAATGTCTGAAGCCCACCAACCAGCCTGTGAACTCACAGGTGATAGTCACAGGAAGTCCATGAGTATGTGGCATGAGCAGGGCCACCATGGCCAGCCTGGTGGCGGAATAATCCCTGGGCATTCTCCCTTGGATTCTTTGCCTGGTCAGTACTTGGTTCTACTTCGAGTTTTTTTTTTTTTTTCCCACGGCCCCAAGCAGCCAGAGCAGGTTTCTCATCCATTTCTTGACAAGTCACTTGTGCCTCAGTTTCCATACCTATAAATGAAAGAAATGGTAGTGCCTGTCAGACCTGGGCCCCTCTGCAAGTTGTTCATGTTTGCTGGGTGCCCAGGATAAGGCTCTGTGAGGTTGGAGGTCTTACCGTGTATGGGGCGTCCAAACAGGGAGCTGCAGATAATCCTGGGAGTGGGATGCCAGGAGGCCTTCGTGACACATCCAGGATTTCCAGGCATGCAGGTGCAGACCAGACTCCCAAACCCCAGCAGCAGCTTTGACTTCTTCCTACTTTCTTTTGGCCCTCCACCCATAACTCAAGGAATGCACTGGGATTTGCTGTGGCAGCCAGGGGTTTTGTCTGTGGTAAAGATTGTTTCCAAGCTTTTTCCCCTGAGTAACTGAGTGGCAGGACCCCGTAGCAGCCTGTGAGTTCCCTCAGGTGAGGAAAGGGGAGGGGCTCCAGGAGGAGGATCATGTGCTTGACGCCTGGGATGTGAGAGAGATGCCGACCTGTCCGAGAATCCGCCTGGACTCCTGGGCCTGGGAGAGTGCAAGTCTTGGGACCTGTCTCTAAGTCCTGGGTCTTTCTCTGATAGCTGCCTCTGCCCACTTTGACTAATCGGATCCCCTGTGCTCTGTACTTGTAGCCAAAGGGAGCTGACCGAAAACATAAGACCGACTGGGAAAAGATGGAGAAAAGAACTGCCCAAGAAAAAGCGAAGTACCAGCCATCCTACGAGACCACCATTCTCACAAGAGGTTAGCCGGCCTGGCACCCCGGAGCAGGATGACTGCGTGCTCTTGGTTTAGGTTCTTGGGAAATTGCCCACCTTGGGTGAATGCTGCTTTGGCAAGTGCCTATAAAATTGTGGCAGATTACCTGGGTCCGGAGCTGTGTTCACATGATAAGGCCAGGGGGCCAGGAAGGTGTTTCAGAAATATCCTTCCAGTTCTGTGCTGCCATTTTTACTTTCCAGAATCAGGTAGTTTTTTTTTTTAAATAAAGGTCCAAAATTCAAAAGGTAGAAGAGAGTGTACTCTACACTAGAAAATGCCATCTCCCAAAACTGTCCCTAGCCTCAAGCTGTCCTCTTCCCAGGGCAGCTGGCATCTCTTGGGTCCCCATGTAATCCTGGCCTAGCTTTCTCTGCCGATGAAGCCAATTCATACATGTTTGCCCCACGCCCACCTTTTTCTTACCAACAGTGTCCATAAGACGTACTGTTCTGTAACTTGATTGCTTTATTTAATAGCCTGTCCTGGAGTCTGTTCTCCATCTTTCATAAAAAGCTTTCTAGTTCTTTACCTAGAGGCGTGGTTTTTCGTTGTATATAGATAGATGGCCTGCTGGTGGACGTTTGTGCTCATCGGGGCTCTTGCCATTTCACACATGGTGCAGGGAATGACCCTGTGCATGTTAAGTTCTGCATAAGGTCGAAAGCTCTGCAGGCTTTCATTCTCAGAGCAGGCTTATAGGTCAGAGGTGTTGACTACTTACCGCTATTGTTGTTTTGAGTAGAGACTGGGAACTCATCTCCTCGTAACGTGGACACTGACAGCACCTGCTCTACAAAACCTCCTTGTGTCCAGCGTAACTTCTGAGACCCTCATGTCACAGGCTCTTCTTCCCCCTGTCAGTGGTCACTGCTGGTGCCACAATCTTACTGGGGTCTGTTGTGTGTTTTTTTTTCTTTTTTACAATTTTATTTATTTATGAGAGACACCAGAGAGGCAGAGACCTCGGCAGAGGGAGGAGCAGGCTCCATGCAGGGAGCCCAATGTGGGACTCAGTCCCAGGACTCCGGGATCACGACTTGAGCCAAAGGCAGACACAACCACTGAGCCACCACCCAGGCACTCTTCTGTTGTATTTTTTAGCAACTGTTTCCCCAGTGTGTTCTGCAATCATCCCAGCTCGTGGGCGTGTCATTGAATAATTTGGCTCAGAAGGCCCTCCACAGATGCAGGAGGCCCAGCCCCAGCTGTGGTAGAGTTAAGGCTGTGTTAAGGATGAGGTCCAGGGCACAGAGCAATCTAAGAGAATAGTGGCCGTCCTGGCTGGTGTGTGTGTGTGTGTGTGTGTGTCTGTGTGTGTGTGTGTGTGTGTGTGAGAGAGAGAGAGAGAGAGAGAAGAGAGAGAGAGAGAAGCGGCATGCAGGAAGGTATGTGCAACAAGAATACAGTATGGAAGGTAATTTTGCAGCGGCATAGAACATGTTACCAGTGTTTTATCTGACACAGGATAATAGTGACCAGAGAGCCCTGGTGCAGGAAGAGCCTGTCTAACTCTCAGCAGCAAAGCAGTGCGAGGACCTGCATTATGAATCAGAGATCAGACCCAGTTTAGTTTTCCCCAGGCCCCAGTCCCCTCACGTGCGGGCCCTCCAGGGTGCCCTCCACACTCCCACTGCCCTCTGCCTACGGACACCTTTCCCTTCCAGGCCGAGCCTCACCTCTCTGCTCCTGACTCTCTTCTGTCTTCCCCCTGGTGGACGAGAGGTCCGTGGGTGCTTCAGACAGCGTCTGTCCACGCCCTTGTCAGAGCGTGGTACAGTGGTCAAAACCACCCGCCTGGCCCATGACCTTGTAAGGTGACTGTCAGATCTTCCTCCTCAGCTCTGGGATTTACCACCAAGAAATTCCAGCCCACATGTAACACCGAGTTAAATATTTACCAACCTGTGGTTCGGTGGGTGATAGGAAAATCTTCAGGAATGCTTCGAATTGGCCCTCTCCAAAGCGGTGTCATCACAGGGAAGGGGAGAAATGAATACTTTGTCCCTGGCTTCCCCAACAGGCAAAACCTGTACGTCTTTGCTTTCTTTGGGCGATTCTCTCCTATGTTCATCCTTGGCTTCTGCTCAAGAAGTTCCTTGAGGTCGAGGATCACATCCTCCGTGTTTTTTGTGTATCCCTTAGCTCCTAGCAGGACGGCTGATGTATAGTAAACACGCATCGACTGATGCCTGAGAGGGCTGGCTGCTCCTGGAATGTTTCAAGTAGTGCAGGTTTTAGTACTGGACTTTGTTTTCGATTTATATTTAATTATTCATTTTAGGGGGAGAGAGAAAGAGAGAGAGCAGAGGGACAAGCAGAGGGAGAGGGATAAGCAGACTCCCCGTTGAGCGTGGAGCCTGATGCAAGGCTCAATCTCACGATCCTGAGATCACGACCTGAGCCAAAACCACAAGTTGGACGCTTAAGTCACTGAGCCACACGGGCACCCCACTACGGAACCTCACGGATGATTTTTGTTTGGAAGTTATTTGTGTCCAGTGCTCCCTCCTTCATGCTTGTACACAGACTTGTCTAACACCTGGTAAAACCTGCCTCTGGCAATTGGTCTGTTTTGTTAGTTCTCTTTTCTTAGGGACCCAGATGACCGACGATGTTTCTTTCCCTCGTTGGCTCAACACCTAGGAAGCCCACAGAGACACATGCCTGCCTTGCTTGCTCTGGGAATGACTGAATTTTAGGTCTTCTCTGCCGCACTCAGTTTCTTGGGCACGGCCCTAGTACCCATGCTTCGCTGGCTCACGTGGGCCCTGGAGGATGTGGCTAAGTGTTGAGGGGTCAGGGGCTTCCCGTGCTGGCCTTGATGGATGCTGGCATGGGAGGGATAGGAGCTGGGTCTGCAGCTCTGTGGCCTGAGTTGCTCCTGACCACCATGGCCCTCGAGTCACTACCATCCTGTGCTCTTTCCACAGTGCTCCCCGTGGCCTGACATGGCCTACCAGGTGAACAGCGCCCCATCTCCAAGCTACAACGGCTCTCCAAATAGCTTCGGCCTTGGTGAAGGGTATGTCTGTCCTCTTTCCTTTGAGAGCCCCTGGAGTGATGATGGGTGTAGTCTCCTTTCTTGGTCTTTGTGTCTTCCTCTCTTTGGTGCACTGGAATCAGTTTGGGCTTCGGGTGGCACTTGTAGTATTTGCAAGCTTTCTGTGCTCGGATGTGCTTCTGGAAACATCATCTGCTGGGGCAGCAGTGCAGAACCCACCTTCCCACCCCGGCTACCCGCAGAAGCAGGTTGGCCTGCGGATTGCCCTTCAGGGCAGAATGGCCTCCTAGGCAGATGGGGCCTAAGGAGGCAGCTGTTTAGGGGGCTCCAGTGACTGTGAGGGCCATCCTGGCTCTTTCTGTGGTCCCTATGCACATTCTCTGGGTAGCATAGGACAGCTCAGGATGCTCCCTGCCCTAGGGTTCAGGGCTGGTAACAAGGAGCAGCCTCACACTTGGTCACCCAGCTCTGCAGATGCATGATGGGCCACACTGACTCAAAGGAGACAGTAGCGTGGGGACTGGCAGGCATCGGTCCAACCTGTCCTAGGCTTTGCGGCACAGGAAGGGCTCACGGCACCGCTGTGGTGGCCATGCATGTCCTGATCCTGTTATGGCAGGCAGCAGGGAGAAACCAGGCAGACCCAGCAGGTAGGCGTGGAACCTGTGGGCTCCTCACAGCCCGTGCTTGGCATACAGAGAAGCCACTGATGGGAGAGTGAGTGTCCATGAACTTGGTTTCACAAGGTGAGGAGGGGCCTCCTTGAGAATTGGGGTGGCATAGCCAAGGTGTCACAGATTCGGGTGTGGACCAAGTGTTAAGTCCCACCTTTCTGGGGGTGAGTTCCTTAACCTCCCTCAGCCCCACTTTCTCCACTACCAAAGGAGTGAGGATTCCACGCAGGGCCGGGGGTAGGGGTGGGTGTGCAAGGTGCCCGGCGCCTTACAGGCACTGGGCGAGGTGCATCTTGTTACCGATGACCGTTTGAGGGTCAGCCCGGTGAGGGCCTTGCCTTTATTGTCACTGTGGTAAGGTACTCGCAGAGTAAAACTTACCTCGTTATCATGTTAAACGCAGAGAGAGACACCTACGTCCATTCACGTCGTACCTGCTCCACTGTCTGTTGGGGAGGGTCATTTAAAAATGTATTTTTTCTTTTAATTGGAGAATCCAGGTGTTCAGGTCTGTGCCTTCCCCAGGAGTGAGCCCTGGAGGGAGGTCAGTGGGCCTCCAATTGTTAGAATGTTCTCGTGGATGGATGCCACACCGAGGCTGCTTGTTCCCTCCTCGAGGAGCCCACGGCTTTCTCCCATCTCCGCAGAGGGTGTTTGGCTGCTGCTGTCTGGGCCCCACGTGGCCGTGTGGAGCTCCTGGGGTGGCCTGCCCTCCCTAGGGCCAAGCTGTGGGAAGCTCTGCCTGGAAGGAATCAGATGCAAACAAATGCTGAGCTCAGAGTGGAGTGGTGATCATTGGTCATGCTGTGTTGCCACTGAGTCATGTCTGTCCTGAAGCAAGGTTGGTCAGGGATTGGATGGATTGTGCAGACGGTTCCCACCTACATTTCTCTGACCTGAGAAATTCTTGAGGCCCTGCTGTGTTTCCAAGTGCCAAGCTTGGGGGGGGGGCACCGGGTTGGGTGAGGGTCCCGTTCCCACGTCCCTGAAGGTGTCCCCGCGTCTGATGACCTGTTCTTTTCCTTTGCAGGAACAGCTCTTCGACACACCCGGTGGAGACCCTGCCCCTGAGCAACGATGTAAGTGTCTTAGCCGGGCTGTCTGGCTGCACATCCCCGGGCAGACCCGGCGCGGTGGTTTCAGGACCCTTCCTCTCTCTCTGCCTGCAGCACCTGCTCCCATCAGCCTCCATCCAGGATGCCCAGCAATGGCTCCCCCGAGACAGGTTCTCACAGTTCTCTTGGCTGTTCACCAGTTTCTCAGGTGAGCATCTTTGTGTTGTTTTTCAAACCCACAGGGATCTTAAAAACATGTAACAAAGCCACTCGCTTTTCAGGATTTGCTGCAGTGTCTGCAGGGCCATGGTTTTGCCCTGGAGACCCAGTGTACCGTAGGTGACTCACCTCTGCTGACCCTGTGCCAAGTGCTAAGATACGAAGTGCTACTGCTGGAAGTTTCCAGTCGAGAATGGCTTTCAGGAGACCATCTGGGTCCTGTGGGGGGGTGCCCTCAACTGCCGGGGAAGAGGTCCTTTAGCCAGGGGGCCGGGCATACTCTGCCTTCCCAGCACTTCTACCAAAGTGCTGCCCATTGGTCCACATTGTCTCTGGAGCCACGACCTTTGAGAAGGTGGTGAAGCCACAGGGGAGAAGGAGAAGCTGGTTCTTCCTTCTCTGAAAGGTTCTTCAAGCACTTCCTGGTGGGGCTGTCACACAGAGTCCTGGGACCAGGCTGTGGGGTGGAAGGGTATACTGAGCAATGAACTTTGCAACCAAGTCACGTTAATCCAGGATGACAGGGAGTGACGTTTTGACCAGAACTAGGGCAGTGGCTGGCAAGGGCATCTGTGACAGTGGGAAGAATACCGTACATGGTCTTCTTTCAGCTCAGCTTTTGTAAGAACTTATGTTGGGGGTGGCCAGTAGGAGGAGGGTCGGACAGGGACCCTGTCCTCCAGCAGTTTGCAGCTTTGAGTCCACGCAGATGTGCGAACCACACATTTCCATGCAGTGTGACCCTTGGGTGGCGGGCAGGCTCAGAGGGGGGGCGTGGCTTGGGTCAGGGAGGAGCAGGGAGGGAGGCTGCCATTTTAGGGGGGGTGCTCAGGGTGGGCCTTCCTGAGAAGGTGGCCTTAAGCAGAGGCTGGGCTGAGGGGAGGAAGTGAGCCAAGTAGGGATGGGGGAACTGTGAGATGTCCGAGCAGGGTTATGTGCAAAGGCCACAAGGTGGGGCCTGCTGGTGTGGCCACAGAGCAGAGCACCCAGGTGAGCGAGGCCAGGTGGACTGGAAAAGGAGGTAGGTCACAGAGGTCCTGGGGGCCTGAGAGAACAGTGGAGGGATTTTGGCTTTTACTTGTTACTTAGGGGGAGCCCCTGTGCTTACAAAATTATGCCTGAAAGTGTATCTTTTTTAAATTTAAATTTAGAGAGTAAGGAGGAGAGGCAGAGGGAGGAGCAGACTCCCTGTGGGGCAGGGAGCCTGACATGGGGTTCAATATCAGGACCCTGGGATTGTGACCTGAGCTGAAGGCAGCTGCTTAACTGACTGAGCCACCCAGGCATCCCACTGAAACTGTGTCTTAACTAGGGCAGGAAAAAGGGGTTGGATATTTTCACTCCTGGCCATGTGGCTGCTGGCTGGTTTCGGCACAAGACTCATCTCATACTTATCCCTTGGGAGTCCAAATGGGCACAAGGTTCTAGGGGATTCCTTAGGCTTTGTGGAAGGGACTGCATCCATGGACAAGGATGTTCATAGACCTTTGTTCATAATCACTCCCAGCTGGGAGCATCTCTAGTGCCCATTGGCAGAGTAGACACATGACTGTGGTATATTCATGCAATGAATAATGTCTAATAATGGGCATGAGTGATCTCTGACCACAGCCAGCATGAGTGAGCCCTGAAGCACCTTGGAGGAGGGAGCCAAACATAGGAAAGCGTATCCTATTCCATTCCACTTATGTAAATGTCAAAGAAGCAAGCAAAACGGAGACATGTGAGGAGTCAGGACAGTGGTTCCCCAGAGGAGGGGGAGTGGCAGGCACGAGGGGCCTGCGTGTGGCGGGGGAATGCTCTGCCCCTTGTTCTGTGTGTGGGGAGTATGGGTGCCTTCACCGTGGCTGCAGCCTGTGGGTCGTGCTCTTCTGCATGTAGCAGGTACATGTGTAACCGGCGTCCTGGGCTAGGTTACATGCACTTGTTAGTGCCAGTAAACAGCAGGGGGAGGGACAGGCAGGCGGCGGTGGGGAGGCCCTGTTGGCTTTTGTAAATGCCTGTCTGTTCTCCTGAGCTTTGAGGATACTGTTCATCTCTTGGGCTGTGATTTTCTGATGTTTAGCTTTTTGTTCTCTCCGTGGACCGTCCGGTGCCCTCTGAGGATGAGGCGGACACTTCCCTGTCCCCTGCCCACACAGTGCAACATCTGCAGGTGCCTGAGGACGGAAATGTGTGTCCCACTGATGGGTGGCCCCATTTACTTGCCTAGGTGCTGACTTGCTGAATATGTCTCGAGACAATTTGGTCCAGATCTGTGGCCCTGAGATGGGATCTGGCTCTTCAATGCCATCAAAGGCCGGTGGGTATCAGTTTCCAGCTGGAGGCCGGGTATGGCAGGAAGCCCCATCGCAGCCTCTTCAATGCTGCCCTATGGGCCGGCTGGTGGGGTCAGGGCTCCTCTGGGAGCAGGTGCAAGAGGAGACCCTGTGAGACGGGATCAGGGCCATGCGGGTGGGCGGGGCTGAGCCCGCCACAGTTCACCCTGCCGGGAGCCCCTCCCCCTTCTTGGTTTGGCAGGATCCTTGGCCCTGGATCCCAGCCCCTCGGCCTCTCCTCAGCTGCTTGCATGGTCCTGGGTTTCCAGCTCTCTCCTCCCAGAGGAAGGTGTGGGACTGTGTGGCAGTTCTCGGTTCTCCAGGCAGACAGGAGAGCAGGGCCAGGTGTGAGGGGGCTTCCCGCTGTGGTGGATGTGTTTGGGGCCATGCTGTGCAGTCCAGCAGCCCCGGCCACGTGTGGCTGTGGAGCGCTTGATCTCAGGTTGATTTGACTGGCCAAGTGAGCTGCAAATCTCATTTACCTTTCACAGATGGACAGCACAGTTCTAGAGTGAAAGAGAGAGCCTGGGTGTGACTCTTGGGTCTGCCTCTTAGGATTTTTACACTAGACAAAAGCGCCTAACCTCTGTGAGTCTCGGTTCCCTTCTCTATAAAATGAGGGCCATGGTTCCAGTCTCCCTAGGTGGTGTGAGGATGAGATAATGTAGGCATGTGAAGTTCTGGAAACAGTTCCCGAGGCAGAGTAAGCTAGAGAAACTGTTTGCTCTTGTTACCACCCTGAAAAACGCCTATGTCTTGAGATGTGAGTTCTGAGCAGAGCGCCGTCATGGCAGCTTGCAGGACCCGGAGGGGTTGTCATCCCTCTGTCTCTGGGCAAGACTGCATGAAGCCATAGAAGCCCAGTGAAAGGCCTTGTGCATCCCTGTGGTCTCTTTTCTTCTGATTCCTTCACTGTGCTAGTTCCACCCTGTGTTTTGGAACATTCTGGAACAACAGAGCTTTGTCCCATTCCCTTGCGCCCCCCCCCCCACCGCCACACACACAATAGCAATTTATTTCCTCTCCTCCTGCCAGGAATGTGAGGCCAAAGATGACCATTTACATCTGTCTGGAGCAGGAGCAGAACAGAGCACCCCTGCAGCAGAAGCGGGATGGTTGGGACGGCAGTCTGTGTGGTGAGTTGTGTGGAGCAGCCCAGGGCTGGTTATTGGGTGGCCAGGTGACAGGAAGACCTAGCACCAACACGAGTGCTCTTGCTGAGGACGTTTCCACTGATCCACCTCCATTCGTGCAGGATGAGTTTTGGTCAACATTCTCCTGGGAATGAAATGTTTAAGGTGGAAACTCTCTGCCAGAACACATGCTACAGCTTCCTTGTTTCCTCCCTGGGGAGCAGGCCCAGAGAGAGGATGTGTTCCCCACAGCTGCTTAGCCACTCATGGGAGAACCAAGAGTTTGGCCTTCCGACTCCCAGGCTGGTGACAAGTGCCGCCCCATGGCCATAGTTTCCTGGGGTTTTCCTTGAGCTGGAGAAGGCTTTTCCCGTTTCGTGTGGCGGCTGCGTGGGGGCTAAGGAGTAGAGCCGCAGGGCCCAGGGTACCTCAGGGCACGTGACTCTTTTGGGTTGGTAGTTTGGAGGCAGTTTACTGAGAGGAAACAAGCCTTGAGGTCAACTGAGCCTGAACACCAGTGCAGGCTGTGCCACCTGTTGGCCATGTGGCCTCAGGCAGGGCTCCGGGGCCTGTACATCAGCTTCTGCACGTACAAAATACAGAGAACAATGCTCGGCCCAGGGGATGAGGTTTTGGCGAGATAAGGCATGTAAAGCGAAGTGCCTTGCTTTTGACTGTGAGTGCTGAGGGTCTGACCAGTGCCCACCTCAGGCCGCAGAGCCCGTCCTCCGTGTCTGCAGAGAGTGGGGGAGTGGCCCGTGTGCTTCTCCGGCTCCCGCCAGAGGAGATAGAGGCTCGCCAGGTCGCCATCCCCAGGGCTTCCTGCGTGCTCACCCACTCGCTTCTCCTGGCAGGGACCGTGGGCAGTGTTGTTTCACTGTAGGGTACACTGAGGCACAGGCTGGATAACTGCTCCCAGGGGGCAGTGTTGTACGTGGCAGAGCCGAGACCCAAACTTTTAGACCCTAGTTGCTGGCTTCTGAGCCCTCGTGTCTGGCCCCTGTACATTCCTGGAGAATGTCTAGGTCCTCCCCCTGCTTCTCAGCTGTTAACCTGTGAAGGACACATCCTGAACCCCAGGGATTCCTGATCATGCAGAAAGGACATCCTCGTGCACGGCACCTGCTCAGAGCAGGAGCTGTCCATGCACAGCTTCTGATTCACGCTGCAATGCTGGTGATGCCCCTGCACACACCCCGAGGTCCCAGGACAGGTCTTGGTCTTGGTTCTAGTGTGGCTGACTTGGGACTGGAGCCTGGGACTGCCTCCTCTGGAGCCTCACGTTCCCCCAAACTGCCACCCACATGATCCTGGAGGAGAGGTGGCCAGGGAGGGGTTCAGAGGAGTGTCTGAGCCTTCAGCTGCTTCACACATTCCTGGCAGCACCCACACTGAGCTGGGGCGCGAAGGGCTGGTGACAGAAAGGTACAACGAAATGCACTGCCTGCAAGTTGTGTAGGTCTTTTAGGCCGGCCTGATTTGTTGGAGGAGAGAACTCAGAAGTGGAAGTGGCTCTGAAGCATTGAAAAGGCACAAAAGTTCATTTGAATCTGTCATAGAAAGGGATCTTGGAATAGAGCCCTGGTGTTCTAACTGGCGGTTCCTACAGGAGGGGCAGTGTGTAGTGGCCACATCCTCTGCCCAGTATCTGACAGCGGGCCAGCCTGCCTGAAGTCGTGGGATGGCGGGTCGGCCGTGTGGCTGGAAGGCCATGGCCTCTGCCAACCCCTTTGGGAGGGAGTCTGTGTTGGGAAGTGCGCATGTGCATACATGTGTGCTTCTGAAGTACAGGGCCTCTCATCAGCCACTGCAACTGAAGGTTCCTCAGTTGAGGTAGGAGTTTGGGAATCTCTAGTTTAATCCAGGTGCTTTGCCTTTGAGGGATTTGGGGCCCCCCAAGGGTCAAGTAATCCTCCTCCCTGGGGTGCCCACAGAGGTGACTCCTACCCAGCTAGTTTGGGTTTCCTGTAAGGAAGCATTTCCATCCTTGGGGTAACTGTTATCTTCCACCAGGCAGGCGATGCTCCCAGCGCCCCTCTTCCCTTTGTGGTCACAGTACTGAGCGGAGGAGTATTTGTGCTGCAGAGAAGGGCAAGGATGAGACACATGTGTCGTCAAGTAGCAGTTACCCCTTGCAGAGAAGGGAACCCCCCTCCCTACACTGTTGGTGGGAATGCAAGCTGGGGCAGCTACTCTGGAAAACAGTATGGGGTTTCCTCAGAAAGTTAAAAATAGGGGATCCCTGGGTGGCACAGTGTTTGGCGCCTGCCTTTGGCCCAGGGCGCGATCCTGGAGACCCGGGATCGAATCCCACATTGGGCTTCCGGTGCATGGAGCCTGCTTCTCCCTCTGCCTGTGTCTCTGCCTCTCTCTCTCTCTGTGACTATCATAAATAAAAAAAAATAGTTAAAAATAGATCTACCCTATGACCCAGCAATTGTACCAGTAGGTATTAATCCGAAGGATACAAACATAGTGATTCAAAGGGGCACCTGCACCCCAGTGTTTATAGCAGCGATGTCCATAATAGCCAAACTATGGAAAGAGTCCAGATGCTCATCAACAGATGAATGGATAAAGATGATGTGTTTTGTAAACACACAGGCACACTCTGGAATATTACTCAGCCATCAAAAAGAATGAAATCTTGCCATTTGCAATGATGTGGATGGAGCAGAGGGTTGTTATGCTGGGTGAAATAAGTCAATCAGAAAGAATTATATGACTTAACTCATGTGGAATTTAAGAAACAGCTGATGAATGTAGAGGAAGAGAGAAAAATAAAATAAGACAAAATCAGAGAAGGAGACAAACCATAAGAGATTCTGAACTCTAGGAAACAGTTAAACGGAGAGTTGCTGGAAGGGAGGGGTTGGGGGGATGGGGTAACTGGGTGATGGGCAGTAAGGAGGACCTGTGATGTGATGAGCACTGGGTGTTACTACAACTGATGAATCATTGAACTCTACTTCTGACACTCATAATATACTATGTGTTAATTTATTTTAAATAAATTTAAAAAGAAGTAGCAGTTATCCTTAAATCCTGCGCTTTGCCCCCAGGAGCCATCCAGCGTCCCCGCTAAGCCACGGAAAGGATGCAGAGTCCCTCCTCTCCTCCTGAAAGGGTGTGCGTCTGGCCACACATCAGAATCACTAGAAGCTAATTAGAAATACAGAGCTCTGCCAGCAGTTCTTCCTCCAGCCTCCACTCCTCCACGGGTGTCATTGGGAGTGGGGTGGATGCAAGAATTCCCAATTTTATGTAAGATTCCCCCAGGAGAGACTGGTACAGGAATGAAGAACCATAGCCTGGCTGCTTTGCCCTGTGGTTGGGCTCTGCAGAGGCTTTGTGCCTGTTACAGCCAGATCCCATCGAATGAGTCTGGGCACGAGCATCCTTACAGCGGAGTGACTGATTTGGGAGTTGGGTATGAGGGGTAGGCAGGCTCCTTAGGAGCAGGAGTGTGTTCTACAGAAGGCCCTGTCCCTTGCCCTCCAGTGACCCATGCCATCTTCTTGGAAGAGCTAACCACGTTGGAGCTGGTTGAGAAGATCGCCAACCTGTACAGCATCTCCCCGCAGCACATCCATGGAGTCTACTGGCAGGGCCCCACAGGCATCCACGTGCTGGTGACCAACGAGGTGAGCACTGTCCCCACCCCTGCTCCTGGCCCCGGGCTCCAGGCTGTAGGGAGGCACAGCAACAGGTGCCAGAAATGCCCCCTCTGGGGCTTGGGGAGGAGGACTTATGCCCCTAGATGGCAAACAGGTTTCAGCTGTGTGCCACATGCTCTTGGCTGCCCTTGAGTGCAGGTGGAGAGAGTTCTGAGACTCTGAGAGGCTGTCTAGTATCCACTCCATACCCCATCCCTGGCCAGGCGCCATGTAGGAACCATGGCGCAAACTGCACCCCTGCCCTCAGGGTGTAAGTTTGCAGGTCCCAGGGGCAGTGGAATGGACCATGGACTGGATGATGGAGAGGACACAGGTCACATGGGAGGACAGAGCCCTCCTCTGCTGACCACTGAAGGTATCACAGCCTTCCTGGGTCTGCCCTTGCCTGCACAGACCTGTGCGGGACACCAGCAGCCGATGGCCGAGGGCAGAGTGATCCGATCCCACTCCTGGCTAGGGAGGGTTTGCAGCTGCATTTAGGCATTCCTGCTCATTGTAGAGCAGAGTCTCTTAAGCTTCTTTTATCCTGGAATCCTCCTCTTGCTGATAATAGCCAGGAGTGGCAGCATTTATCCACTGCTTCCTGTCCTAAATGCACATGTAGTGACTCTTGTAATCCTGACAGCCTCACTCTGAACTAGGTGAAATCTCATTTCACAGATAGGAAACTGAGATGCAGAGAGGCTGAGTAATTGCCCCAGGTTGCACACCTCGTAAGGGGTGGAGGTAGGGGGGAGCGCTGGGGGAGCCCAGAGCCCATGCTTCTAGCTGCCAGGTTAGTCCACCTCCCTGCAATGAGGCCTCAGGAAAACAGCTAGGCTGATGGGAACAGGGGTGGCCCCCTTTGCCCCCAGCAGACACCAGCAAGCCCATTGTGGGAACTCTGAGCGCCTCTGTGTAGAGGACCATAGATGAAGTGGGACATGAATGGCGTCTAGGGAAGTAGAGAAGATGTGGGCTCTGGAATCAGACATGTGTCCCCACCCAGACCTTGCTCCTAGGGGTAGAGTGACCCTGGGCAGATTTACTTAACACTTTTGAACCTGTTTCCACATCTATAAAATGGATAATTAACCCACTGAACAGGTTGTAGTTAGGATAAAATGAGAAAAGAGAAAACAGCCTCAGGCACCGAGAGACACCAGGGAACGGTGTGATGGTGGTAACTGACAGTGCCAGGTGCTTTGGACTTTTGAGAGCAAGTGTTGTAGAGATCTTTAAGTTTGACAGTGTATAAAACGTAAAGCTTCTAATAGTCTCTGTGTTTTCATATATTGTCATTATTGGTGATAATCCTATTGCCACTTGTCGTTACAATTGCCTGAGCCCCTTAAATGGAAGTCCCCCATTTCATGGGAGTTTGGTCCTTAAAGTTAGCAAAGCGGTGGTGGTTTCCTTCTTCTTGAATTAAAAAGTAATTCACCAGGTGCCTGGCTGCTTCAGTCGGTGGAGCATGAGACTCTTGATCTTGGGGTTGTGAGTTCGAGCCCCATGTTGGGTGCAGAGATTACCTAAAAATAAAAAATAAAAGAATCTTAAAAAAACAAGAACCCAGTAATTCAGTTTGTGTAAGTCAAGAAGTATAAAACAGCTGAAGGCAAATGTGAACGGCACTTCTCTTCCTTACTCTTTTCCTGGAGGAGTTTATATTAGCTTTGATGTGATTTTGTCAGAGGACGCTTGCTGGCATCCGTCGTGTGCCTGAGCACTGTGTAGGTGTGGATTCTCAAAACACACATCAGAGTTCCAGCTGTACATTTATCTGCCACTTGTTAGTTTTTGTCACCAGTTCAGAACTTCTTCTGTATCCTTGCATTGAGATCTCAGACAGCTGTTTTTCCAGCCCCCACCTCACAGACAAAACGAAGCCCAGAGTTCTTGACCTAAGCACTCCCTTGGGAATAGCCAGGGAGGTTAAGACACCGGCACAATGGGCTGCTGCATGGCACAGGAAAGTTGTCACTTTGCACTTGGGCACGAATTTCTTTTGTGAAGACGAAAGCCAAGAATGTGAGGAACCCTTGCAACGTTATGGGTCCCTGCGGGAAGTCCCTTCCCCGGCTTGCCCTGGGCCCTCCAGAGTGGGCAGTTAAGCAAGTGAAGCAGAGAACAGAACCGAAATGCTACCTCAGGGGATCCCTTGGTGGCGCAGCGGTTTGGCGCCTGCCTTTGGTCCAGGGCGCGATCCTGGAGACCCGGGATCGAATCCCACATCGGGCTCCCGGTGCATGGAGCCCGCTTCTCCCTCTGCCTATGTCTCTGTCTCTCTCTCTCTCTCTCTCTCTCTCTCTCTGTGACTATCATAAATAAAACAAAAAAAATAAAAAATAGGGATCCCTGTGTGGCACAGCGCTTTGGCGCCTGCCTTTGGCCCAGGGAACGATCCTGGAGACCCGGGATCGAATCCCACATCGGGCTCCGGGTGCATGGAGCCTGCTTCTCCCTTTGCCTGTGTCTCTGCCCCTCTCTCTCTCTCTCTCTCTCTCTCTCTCTATGTGACTATCATAAATAAATAAAAATTAAAAAAATAATAAAAAATAAAAAAAATTAAAAAAATTAAAATTAAAATTAAAAAAAAAAGAAATGCTACGTCAGCTAAGTAGGCGATTCTTATTCTCCGAAGTCTCCGTGCCTCTTAACCCTGAATCAATTGGAAACCTTTGGTTCTTAATTGCCCGGAGCGGTGGAGGCAGCCTGGCCAGCCGCAAAGCTGGCCCCTGAGGTGCAAGGGCACTTAATTAAACAAGAGACTTACTGATTAAGCCCGTGTGGGCTCCATGTAGGGCTTTGCATGCCCAAGTGGCTGGGCTGCCAAGAGTCCAGGAGGGAGCAGGCCAGCAGTATAGAATAAATGTACTTCACGCATCATTTGGCCCGGCAGGGAGGGGCAGGGGTCCTCAGGTACATAGATTTGCAGGATTTGGGGCAGTAATCCAGAGGCGGCAATAAATATGCATTGCATTTTTTTAATTTGCAAAGGAGTTTTGCTTTGTGGTAGCTAGCGTGTCTGTTGTGGGTATGTCTTTAAGTATTTTTGAAATACTCTTTACATTTAATTTGTGAAATATGGCATGTGTGTGCAAGGAGAATTATAAAACTCATTTTTACAGTTTAAGGAAGAGGTAAGTGCCCAATACTGTCGCTCAGGTTAATGAAGTATTATGTCAGCAGCCTCTTTGTGCCCTAATTTCCTTTTCCACAGAGCAGCACCTCCACCTGCTGCTCTGAATGTTGTATTCATTGTACCCTTTTCCTCCTCAATATATCATTTAATTTTGCCTAATTTGAAATTTCATGGAGGTGGAATAATGGCATGTTTTTCTGTGACTTCCATTTCCCTTTATATTTTTGAGAGTCACACATGTTGAAATGCTGCCGGAGGCCACTGGCATACTGAATTAGGTCACAGTTTATTCATGCTCCTATTGTTACTGATTGACATGGGGCTGTTTCCAGTTACTATTTTTTTCCAAGTTTTTATGTAAGTAATCTCTGTACCTGATGGGCTCAGACTCAGCCCCAAGATCAAGAGTCGCATGCTCTTCACACTGAGCCAGCCAGGCGCCTCTGCAGTGACCGTTCCTAACAGTGTTGCTGGAAACATTCTTAGGTGTGCTTTGAGTTAGGCACATGCAGGGGTTTATCTAGAACACTGGGCTGGAGGAGTAATGTAGTAGGCCCCGTGGACAGCTTTGTAAAGTGGTTGTATAGATTAACACTCCACTAGCCGTGGGTGCCGATTCCTGATGTTCTGGTGCCAATTCCTAACATTCTGTATCCTGGTTCTGTTCTTTTGTCACGGAAGCAGCCCCATTTTATAGATGGGGCATGGAGCCCAGAAGGGAAAAGGTCGACTTGTCTGAAGTCACCTGGTAGTTCATCAAAATGGAACCTGCAGAGAGGCGGCTGGGGAATCCTTCCATTCCTGCCACTTGGCCGATGGAGGGAGTGGCGCTGTGTTTATATTGGTCCTCGTAGGACTCTGATATGCAGAGGCCGCTAACTCCCAAGATGTTTTTTTTCCTTTTTCAAAGCACTTTAGTTTTTAACTTGTTGCCGTCGTACACATACATGCTCCTGTAATGTGTCCATTATAGGGATAGGAGGACCCAGTAAAGTAGGAAAATGAAAACGAAAGGAAACGTGGAGTCCCGTGGTAAATACTAACATTTTGCTTCCCTTCCTGGCTCCTTTCTGTCGTTTATGTTCAGTTTTTGTTACTTACAGCTATAATCAGTTCATATATTTATCTTGTTTTGTGTTTCCTTAGTGAGTGGTAAGTGTGAGCCTCTTCCTGCATCTGTACAAACACAGTGGCTGGGATCCGTGTGGTCAAGGCTTTCCATATTATGAACTCATTGTCGAAGGGACGTGGTCTCTCTTTTGCCTTTCAGATGGTGCAGAATTTCCAAGATGAGTCTTGTTTTATCCTCAGTACCTTAAAAGGTAAAGCCCCCCTCCTTTTTTTCTTGTTTAGTTAAAGTATGTTGGCTGTGCCTCCTGCCCCATCCCTGAGTAGTAGAGTGAGGAGACACCCAAACTGGTGAGTGGGGCCGGCCTCCCTGCCTGCTCGGTGGGTCCCTTGAGAGAACGTTATCTGAGGACATCCTCTGGGGAAAAGGTGAAACGTGGTCCAGGAAATGTGAGGACTATTGAGATCTGCTCCAACGTCAGTTCTGAAAGGCAAACCCTGGCCAGGCAATGTGATTTTCCTGGTGCTTGAGTAGACATAACTCGGTGCTTGAGTAGAAGTAAGATGCGCTTGGGTTTTTCTCCAATGGAGGTCTCCAGGAGGAGCAAGTGTGGAATAGAACAGCTGAGCCTGCAGGCCTAGTGGGTGTCAGGGATATGGGGCGAGGGGCAGGACATGAAGCTTCCACCTGAGGACAGGTCTCAGAAGGAACTCATGTGCCAGGAGAAAGGAAAGACTAGCTGTAGCCTTCCTTAGGGCCAGGGCAGGTGAATGTATGGGATATATCAGAATGAAAGTGCTGTATGACTGGGCAGAGACCCTGAATGATGGCAGGGCCATCCCTGTCCTCCTTGTTCTAGATCTAGCCAGTAACTGCCTTCAGAGAGCTGGGGACCATAATACCCTGAGAACCACAGTGTGGTTCCAAAGCCTTCTTGGATATTATAGAGCCTTTAGTTCTTGGGCCTGGGGCTACGGTAGAAAGACCCATTGCCAAAAAGAAACTCAATAAGGCAGAAGGCATGTGAAGGCATGTGCTAAAATACCTGTTTGTTAGCGCTCTCTGCAGTTGTATTCGGAGCCAGTATTGGTGGCAGGACTTCCGCTGGTACTCAAAGGCCATGCGCTCCCTAACACCCCAAGGTTATGGCGTCGGGCCTTTCTTCCTGTAAAATGCCCTTGTCTCCCTTGGCAGCCGAGAGCAACGATGGCTACCACATCATCCTGAAGTGTGGCCTCCGAGCAGAAGTAGAGTGTGTAAGCCAGAGCCTCCCACTCCCAGCACCGTGGATTCCTTTGGATGTAGAACCTGCACCACCGTAAGCTTTGGCCTCACCTGGCAAGCTGTGACTGGGAGGGACTTGGCCCAGTCTGTGGCAGCCATGGACCAGTAACCAGCGGGAACCTGTGGATGCGGTCTCTGGCACGCAGAAAGCCAATGGCTCCTCTCTCCTTCCTCTTGACCTCCAGCTTTTGAGCGGTTCCTTGTTCTTTGCCTGCTATCCTAAAGACGCAAATGGCAGGGCATCTTCTCTGAAACCCCTCAGTCCCTTGTTGGAGGCTGGTTCACTGGGTATCTTGGTGCCACTGTATCCTTCTGACTACTCCCCTGCCTCCAGGGAAAGCCCTGCCTCCCGTCAGCCGTCATCTTCTCTGGTGACCAGGACTGTTGACTGGGTAACTTGCCACCATTCTACCTTCACGTTGGTTTCCCTTCTCAGCGGCCCTCATGAGTGTCTGTCTTTCTGGTTCTTGGATGGATCAATGGGAATGGGGTTTATTCTGTGCCTTCTGCTTCTTCCACCTTGACTCTTGTTTCTTTTTTTAATTTTTTTTATTTATTTATGATAGTCACACAGAGAGAGAGAGAGAGAGAGGCAGAGACACAGGCAGAAGGAGAAGCAGACTCCTAGCCCCGGGAGCCCGATGTGGGACTCGATCCCGGGTCTCCAGGATCGCGCCCTGGGCCAAAGGCAGGCGCCAAACCGCTGCGCCACCCAGGGATCCCTTGACTCTTGTTTCTAAGGACCTGGTGTCATAATGCCCAGAGATGGGCTCACCTGTCTCTGCGTTGGGTCATGTAGACACCACATCGCAGGTGTAGGACCTGCCACACATACCTAGGTCTACGCCCTTGGGAGGGAGAGGGAGAGGATGGAGTAACTATTTTCTGGTACATTCTCACAAGTGTAAAAGGGATGAGAACAAAAGGTTTTTTTTTTTTCTTGAGCTCCTTTCATATGATTTTATTTCCTCAGCAATCGTGGGTAAGGAGGACTAGGAAATGAGCATCCCACTGTGCAGTCACATGACCTTGATAGTCATGGTAGCGGGCTCTTGTGGGTGGACTTAACCAACTAAGTCTCATTTAGAGGAGACCTTGATTAACACTGCCAAACTTTGTCTCTACTGTGAGGGTCCCCATTTAAATGTTTATCTTTTTTCATTTGATAGAGGGAGTGTTAGGGCATTTTGCTTGCACTGGGATGGTTGGATCGTCTCTCTTAGTGGCTTGACTATGGGGAAACTTGAGTACGGGTAAGCTCAGGAATTTGTCTTTGTCTTGTGTCTGTTTCCAGGGACCCAGTGATCTACATACTCTTAGCTAACTTAGGTTTATCTTCGAAAGCACAGGGAGGGTGTATGATCAGCTGAGCAGGATTCTACAACTTCTAAAGTGGAGCTTTTGGGGAATATAGTGTTAGGGTCAAAGATGATCAGAACTGGGTAGACCTTGTTTTACAGATGACACTGAAAGCCGAGAGGGGCAGAGCCACCTGCCCGATACCACGTAGTGATAGGGCAGTGATAGATATTTATCATATAAATCACTTCAGAGGGCAAAAAGGGTGCTTTTGTAATGATGATGTTGGGACGACAGGTGTGGTGTTTCTCTAGAGTAAAGCAGCCTCCTGATTCCTTTTCTGTCTTGGGGGAGGGTGGGGGAGCAGGTAATAGCTTTACTGAGATAAAATTCACATAGCATGCAGTGTACCCATCTAGGGTATACTACTCTGTGTTTTTTTAGGGAATTCACAGAATCAGCACATTCAGTTTGAGAACATTTTCCTTCCCCCCACCCCCAAAAAGAAACCCTACTCCTTTTAGTGATTATCTTCCCTCTCTCCTCACAACTAGCTTGGTCTTAGGCAACCATGATCCTCCTTTGCATACTGATTTTTTTTAAGATTTTATTTACTTATTCATGAGAGATACAGAGAGAGAGGCAGAGACACAGGCAGAGGGAGAAGCAACCTCCTCTAGTGGAGCCTGATGTGGGACTCAATCCTGGGACCCTGGGACCATGCCCTGAGCCAAAGGCAGATGCTCAACCACTAAGCCACCCAGGCGTCCCTCCATATTGATTTACCTATTCTGGACCTATCACGTAAATGGAATCACAGTGGCCTTTTGTTGCTGGCTTTGGTTTTTTTACTAGCGTAATGTATTCTAGGGTCTTCCATGTTGAACATGTGTCCACACTTCAATTCTTTTTTATTTAATTTTTATTTATTTATGATAGGCACACAGTGAGAGAGAGAGAGAGGCAGAGACACAGGCAGAGGGAGAAGCAGGCTCCATGCACCGGGAGCCCGACGTGGGATTCGATCCCGGGTCTCCAGGATCGCGCCCTGGGCCAAAGGCAGGCACCAAACCGCTGCGCCACCCAGGAATCCCTCTCCAACCTTTTATTTTCAGGTTGTAGGTGTCCTTCTGTCTAAAATGAGTCTCTTGTAGACAGCAAATAGATGGGTCCTGCTTTTTTATCCAGTCTGAAACCCTGCGCCTTTTGATGGGGTCATTAAGCCCGTTCACGTTCAGAGTTACTATTGACAGATATGAGTTTAGTGTCATCATGATATCTATTTAGTCCTTGTTTTTGTGGATTGTTCCACTGAACTTCTTCTTAAAGGGGAGTTTTAAGAGTCCCCCTTAAAATTTCTTGTCGAGCTGGTTTGGAGGTCACATATTCTTTCAGTTCCTGCCTGTCTTGGAAGCTCTTTATCTCCCCTTCCATTTTGAATGAGAGCCTTGCTGGATAAAGTATTCTTGGTTGCATGTTCTTCTCATTTAGGACCCTGAATATATCCTGCCAGCCCTTTCTGGCCTGCCACGTCTCTGTGGAGAGGTCTGCTGTTACCCTAATATTCCTCCCATGAAAGTCAGGGACTTCTTGTCTCTTGCTGCTTTAAGGATCTTCTCTTTATCTTTGGAATTTGCAAGCTTCACTATTAGATATCAAGGTGTTGAACGGTTTTTATTGATTTTAGGGGGGGATCTCTCTATTTCCTGGATCTGAATGCCTGTTTCCCTTCCCAGATTGGGAAAGTTTTCAGCTAGGATTTGTTCAAATACATATTCTGGCCCTCTGTCCCCTCCGGAACCCCAATTAAACGTAGGTTTTTCTTCCTTAGGCTGTCATTTATTTCCCTTAATCTGTCTTCATGGTCTTTTAATTGTCTGTCTCTTTTTCCCTCAGTTTCCCTCCTTGCCGTTAACTTGTCTTCTATGTCACTCACTCGTTCTTCCACCTCGGTGACCCTCGTCGTTGGGACTTCTAGTTTGGATTGCATCTCATTCAATTGATTTTTAATTTCTGCCTGATTGGATCTAAATTCTGCAGTCATGAAGTCTCGTGAGTCCTTAATGCTTTTTTCTAGAGCCACCAGTAGCTGTATAATGGTGCTTCTGAATTGGCTTTCTGACATTGTATTGTAATCCAGATTTTGTAACTCTGTAAACAAAGCTTAGCATGTGATATTATAAATAAGAAAGCCATTATCCAAGCAAGCATATTGTAGACTGATTAAAGAATGTTAATAGGAGGGTATGATCTGAAATGACTACAATTCCCCTACTGTTTGCACCCGGAGGTTAATAAATCTTGCCATTTAGATCATTTAGCTAATTCCCTTCCTCTGATTTCCAAAATATATATTAGGATAACTTGTTTTTCATGTGCACTTTTCAGTCAAATATACTGTGCTGGCTAATCCTCTTCCCTTGGCATCTTACTGTAAACTCATATATTGATGACTGGTTTGCAGGCGAATTTTTATGAATTTTGTCTATACCAATCAGATTCACTTGTTCAAGCCTGAATGGACTACCAAGAATGCTGGGACCGCAGAAGCCCCACCAAAGCATTGCCACCTTTACCAAAACAACCATCTGTTACACTGATCTTAGCTCTTTCTTCAACAAGTATAACTTGCAGGAAACCTGGGTGGCTCAGCAGTTGAGCATCTGCTTTTGGCTCAGGGCGTGATCCCAGGGCCCCGAGATGAGTCCCACATCGGGCTCCCTGCACGGAGCCTGCTTCTCCCTCTGCCTGTGTCTCTGCCTCTCTCTGTCTCTCATGAATAAATAAAATCTTAAAATATATATAATTTGAAAGTACTTCTGTAAACATATTGACATAGTTACTATTGTTGGCAACATCCTGATTGTTCCACCAACTTGTTCTAAATGGTATGTCTAAAGCCAATCTCCCCAAAACCTGTCAGAACAGTGTTCCTGGTTCAAACGGCATTTGACAAGGTGCTTTTTATCGACCAGTTCTGTTTGTGTTCAAGGATATGCATTCAGAGTTGCTCCAAGCTCTGTAGTCCCTTCTCCTTATAATTACCCCTTCACTGCTGTGCTACAAGGAAGTCCCAGCTGGACAAGGAGATTGCAAGGAGACTTTGTGTCCATCCTATTGAAATGATTGTAGCAGTTTGTTTGAATGCCTCCAGTGTTCAATAATCGATAAATCTATTGTGAAATATACATGTAATGGATTATGACTCAGCAGAGGGGGAAAAATTAATTATACGTGAAATAGTAGAGGGAAATAATGTTGTAGAAAAATATACTCCAATATTGTTTCTATAAAGTTTACATATTTATGCAGCAATGATTTATCTATTTATGATTTCAAATACATGTATTCAAATTGTAGAATGGGAAAGACATAACAGCTTCAGTGGGGTGCCTGGGTGGCTTAGTTAGTTAAGCATCTGCCTTCAGCTCAGATCATGATCCCAGGGTCCTGGGATTGAGTACCACCTCAGCTTCCCTGCTCAGCGGGGAATCTGCTTCTCCTTCTGTCCTTCCCCATGCTCATGCTTGTGCTCTCTCTCTCTCTCTGAAATAAATAAGTAAATAAATAAATAAATAAATAAATAAATAAATAAATAAATAAATAAATAAATATTTAAAAAATATATCAACTTCAGGATGGTGGTTTCATTACGAGAATAGGAAAAGAGACTGGGAATATTATGTGGGCATCTATATGTGTATTTGTAATATAGTTAAATTGTAATAATTGACATTTTTAAAAAATTAAAAATAAAACCACAATTCAGTTAAAAGTTGTGGCAATAATCCAGGTGAGAGTGGTGAAGTTGACATAAGATAGTGACAAATGGCATTAAAAAAGGGACTAAATTGGGCAGCCCCGGTGGCTCAGCGGTTTACCACCGCCTGCAGCCCAGGGCATGATCCTGGAGACCCTGGATCGAGTACCATGTCGGGCTCTCTGAATGGGGCCTGCTATCCCTCTGCCTGTGTCTCTGCCTCTCATTCTCTCTCTGTGTTTCTATGAATAAATAAATAAAATCTTTAAAAAAAAGGGACTGAATGAAGCAGTGATTCACAAACTTCTGCTTTAGTTCTCTCAACAAGAAAGATGAGTGAACTCCTACTTCCTTCTACAACTCCAAGTATCCTACGAAGTCTAGAGTTTCGT